CTGTGCTTTAATGCATCTGTAACTTGATGATACTACAAAGCAATAATCTGAATTGCCTATCAGAAGAACCACTTACTATTATTTACTAAAAAGGAATAAATAACTTAGGATGTCACTATTTCTGTAAGGAAATAAAAGTAACTATGGGAACTTCTATAATGAAGAAAAGCATAAGCACTATTTTAAATTGTGGTCTTACCATAGCTCTGCATAAGAAGTTGTTTTTCATTTTAGTAATATGATTCTCTCCCACACTTCAGAAATAAAACATGAAGAAAAAGAGGGCCAAAACCTGCATTCCTTCATACCATGCCCTTAGAAGAAAATTGACTTAACAGGATTTCATGGATAGGCTGACAGTTTCCTGGAAACCTTATCCACTTTCAAAATGTGCTTCAACTGCAGCAGTAAACAATCAAAACTTTTTTTTTTTTAAATTAAATTTTTCCTCTCTGCAGTTATACAATAGGAGAAAAAAAGGAGGAAAAAATGTAACTGTGTGTATTGGTTTGGTAACTGAGGTGATCCCCTGGGATATGTGAAAACCCGGTTCATTTAACAGTTCTATTTGTTTTCAAGGGAAAAGTTCTTCTCTAAGACAACGGAGACAGCACCAAAACAGAAAAATTAATGGACTGTCATACATGCACAGTCAAGGTGAATAGCCAGCTTGTAAAAAGCACATGCTGCTTTCATCAAAAACCAGAGTCCAATCAATTCTTATTTTTGCTATATATACAATCATAGAATGGTTTGGGTTGGAACGGACCTCAAAGATCCTCTAGTTCCAACTCCCCTGCCATAGGCAGGGAAACCCTCCACTACACCAGGTTGCTCAAAGCCTCGTCCAACTTGGCCTTGAACACTTCCAGAGGTGAGGCATCCACAACTTCTCTTACTTCCATAAGATTTTATTTTCATCAACGCTAACCATAAAGATTAAACATATTTGTATTAAAATTTTGTCTTCAGTTTTCCAAAGTTCTTGATCTTTTTTTTAGAATGATCTACTTATCCTTCATCTTAGCGCACACAGGTGCTGTTTCAGATCTCAATTCTCAATCTCCTTCCCTACCAGCAGAGTTTGTTGCATTTCAGATAGGAAAATGAAGTCTGAAAATATCTCTTTGCTTTCAAACCAAGGAAGAAATTTGCAAGTGGTGACAGAATTCTAGTGTGAGAGTCTTTGTTTATGCGTCCCTTTTCAGATGACTTGATCATTTGAGGTTAGCAGAGAATAGTGGCTTTTTTTTGTCCCTTGGAAACTTTTAATCACAAGGGAAATACACAGCAAAGTACTCTTCTGAAAACTCGTAAAGTCTATATGCAGTATTAATAAATTTTGCTACTGAGCATAGCTTCTCTTTTGCTGTCATATATATGCTACCTTTATATTATAAAAAGATAACTATGACAGTTCAAAACTGTGTTTTAGTTATACATGATGGACTTCTTTGCAGTAGTATTCTGAAGTGCTAGACTGAATTATAAATCCAAGTAAAAATGGTATAAGAACTCAAGGTGTAGTAGCAAATGGAAGAACATTAGAACTCTGTGAAGAAAATTGTGTACGTCTAAATGCTTCTTTCTGTACTTGCCTTGAGGAGGTCATTCCCATTAAATAATCCAACTACATTTTTTTCAGCTACTACATTGTTTGCTGTAGCAAAAATCAGTAAGACAGGAACAAGAAGAATGTAACCGAAGAAGAACACAAACAATCCCAAAAGTAATAGATTATCACCTGCTTCGTATATTAATTTTAGAACTTGTTATTTTTTCATAAATTCCAATTTCTATTACTGACATAATTTCCTAGTAGTCGTCATAATCTTGTATTTAACATTACAATATATTCTAGTATAGTGATGAAAAAGTTTGAATATTTGACAAGGAAATACCAGTTTAACTTTGTTTGAAAGCCCAATATTTTTAGTGGCTGAAGTCATCTGATCATTTGCTTTTCTGTTTATTGTCATCAGGACAAAAGATTTTGGTTTAGGAGACTGTGTTGCTGTTTGTCTTGATTTCGCAAGTTCTTTCTATTTCTGTGGCACTGAAGTGTACCTGTTTTTCAGGATTGTGACTACTTGATGTTTCCCTAGCTTCAGAAGTGTAGAATCTAAGACAGTTACAAAGTATAGGAACAACATATATCATTCAAAAGGCATCAAATCAGACTTCTAAATACAACTAGAGATATTTTTGCAGTTATATGTCTTGCATTTGAGGAAACTATGGATTAAACCCTCTTTATTTGTTCACAAACTATGTGAACTAACCACACCTTTATAAACAAGTTCATACAATTCCTGTGATGTGAATTCCAGCCTAGACAAGAGGTACCCATGATGCAGACAGTGCTAGGAATACACTCCCACTGCAAATAATATGGCCTATAAGAAAAGGGTATCTTACCCATCATTTCAAAATCCAGTTTCAGAGTTGATCAAAGAGTTGAAAAACATGTCATTATTTCCAGTACGCTGTACTGTGCACAGTGCCTTGATAAAGATTCTGTCTACCTACCGTGATATCCTTAATGACTAGAAAACTATGCTTTCTTTAAGCTTGGTAGAAGTAATTCTGAAAATTTAGTTTCCAACTCAGCAACTCTGTTTAAAGGAACTAAAACTTAGTGTGAATCAAAAATAGTCATTACCTCATTTCAATGGGATCAGCCCAGTCATCATAATCCATTGTTTGATATAGAAGACACAGAAATATTTCTTGGCACAATTTATGCATAAATTTATTATGAACTGATTAACTTTATTGATAGATGCTCTAAACATCAAGGGCAGAAAAAGAAAGCAATTTTATAGTACTACAAAAATACGAATTGAAAAGAATTCATTTTCCCACAAGGCTATTTTTTTAAAGATTGCTGACATAAACATGATATTTGTTTTGGTGCCAGACTAAAATGACAATTTTATTTTTTTTCCTATAAAGGAACATAGAAAATTTCTTATTTTATTACAGTGGAGTGTTTTAACCCTTGATCTGTGCTAGGGAATAATGATTTGGCTGTCATGGACAATAAGAATGCAAATTCAGATGGTGGAAAACGGACAGTTTTCCAATAAAACCTGAACTGGGACTACCAGCTAGTTTTATGAAGACTGATAAAGCATGGCTGTTATGACTAATTTCTAACATGAGCTGGATATTGGCCAATGATAAAAGTGAAAATGCTGTTCTGTTACAATGCCTTCCAGTTATTATCAGTGGTATTACACTACCATCTAGAGGCCCAGCTAAGAATAAGCTACTGTAAAGGAATACCGATTAGACTTACAGAAATGTTATTAGTTCTACTTTGGATTAGTTATGTGTAACCACCAGTACAATTTCTAGAGCATTCAACAAAGCTTTTCCATTCAAGTGAAAAATGTTTGCTATTCTTTGCAACCTGAACATTGGCATGAGTGCCAGAAAAGCAATTCCTGTCTATACTTATAATTCAGTCCATTATGATTACCCGGGTTTCGGTGCATCCTGGACTTCTGAAATTTTTAGCCTAATGGAGAATTTAAGAAATCTTAGTGCAAATCTTGTTTCCTCTTGAAAAGTAAAGTTAAAAAAAAAGATAAAATCTTCCTTCCCAGAATTTCTTAAACAAATTGATTCAGAGAATATTTTGCTTTTAAGAATCATTGTAAGAAGTTGCTGTTTCAAA